CTGGCCTTGAACTCACGGAGATCTGCCTGCCTCTGCCTCCTGAGTGCTGCGATTAAAGGTGTGCACCACCAATGCCCGGCCAGGGTTGTTAGACCCCCCGGAAAACTCAGGTATCCGGGGTTCCAGGCCACGACCGTGGTCACCCCAATCACCAGGCGGATTCGAGAGCTTGATGCAAACTGCAATTTAACGAGCTAACCCCATGTTAGCTCGGGTCTTTCACCCACCCGCCATGGCGGATGGCTAGCAAAAGACAGCTTCTAGGGCCTCCCGAGAGATCTTATAGGACAGCGTAAGGGGAATGTCTAGGGGTACGCACAGGCTCACGATTGGTGTGCCTCCAGGCTTGGAGGGCTTGCCCTGTGTTGATTGGTCAACTGGTTGTTATGGCCCATAGGCCCTCCCAGGGTGGTTGTTATGCTTTGTGCATCATTGCTGTGCACTTGTCCGTAAAGCAAACCCAGGGTCATAAAGCATAGTGTCACCAGCTAACTTCTGATTGGTTCCTTGTCACGAGGCAGGCATTTGACTTTCTAGTGTCTAGGACAAGGTCAGTCAAGCACATGTTCGGCCATTATGGCTGCTGAAAGGGGAGCTGGTCCCTTCAGGGTCATCTTTAAGGACTTCCCTTCAGCACTGTGTGTTCTGTTGGTGTTAAGCAGGAGTTGGATTGTATAGACTCATGTAGAGTCTGATTTCAAAAAGGGGTTTCTCTATATGGCGCTGGCTGTCCTGGAACTCACTCTGTAGACCAGGCTGGGCTCAAACTCGAGATCCTCCTGCCTTTGCCTCCTAAATGCTGAGATTAAAGACGTGCACCACCACTGCCTGGCCATGGAAAGACTTATTTTTTTTTAATTTTAATCTTATTTATTATGTATACATAATAAATTTATTATTTATTTTTATTTATTATGTATACAACATTCTGCTTCCATATATATTTGCACACCAGAAGAGGGCACCAGATCTCATAATGATGGCGGTGAGCCACCATGTGGTTGCTATGAATTGAACTCAGGACCTCTGGAAGAACAGTCAGTGCTCTTAACCTCTGAGCCATCTCTCCAGCCCCCATGGAAAGACTATTTTAAGCTGAACATTTCTAGACCAATATGGCTGTAATTTCCATATAGTGCCAGCTCAACCTGGTAAATTGGCACACTTTTCCAAGGGTGATAAGGCAAAGCTAGTTTCCAAAATTCAAATCCTACAAATAAGATGCCTATAAGGAGCAGTGTGACCACATCTGTGGCCACGGTTTTCTAGGTTCAGCAGTCAGATGAGCCAAACTGGAGGCATCCATGTATTACGTTTGCTGTTAATTGTGCTGAAATGAGTAAATTTTTCCCCCTTTTTCTTTTGAGGAAAGGTCTTACTGGTAGCCCTGGCTGACTTGGAACTATGGATATAGACTAGGCTAGCCTTGAACTCAGAGATCCATCGTTCTGCCTTTGTCTCCCATTGCTGGATGTGTGCCAACATGACTGGCTCCTTTAAGTGGTTTTGTTAACTTGGGGTGGGGGCGTGGGGCATCGGCGTGGGACTCAGTGTGCTCATGGAGGCCAGAAGTCAGCCACAGGTATTACTCGGGAGCTGTTTAACTCACTTTTTGAGACCTCTCTCTCACTGGCCCAAGGCTTGGCAGTTTGGTCTGGTTGTTTGGAAAGTGAGCCCCCAGAGACCCAAGTGTCTCTATGTCCCCAGTCCTGAGATGCCACCGACCCCTACTATTTATGTGGGTTCTTGGGGTGGAGCCATCTCCCCATTGCCTACTTCGTAAATTTGAAAAGTGTGTGATACCACGTCTTTGGTCCAAACCGAGAGATGAACATGATGGTCCTCTGGGAATGTAGCCCCTGCCCTCCCAAGGATATGTGGTTTTCTGACTGGATAGCTTAGCTTCCAGTGGATTAGCTTTGTGTATATTTGTAGGCTTTATGTAGAGTGTCTGACCTCTTTGTCACCTGGCTTTTGTTTTGCACTATATCTGTGGAATTAATGCACACTGTTTCATAGCACAGGCAGTACTCTCTACTTAGGAGTTCCATACTAATAGTTTCAACCAATCACAGTCAGAAATGATGAGTAGGCTAGGTAGGGTGTAAAGTAGTAGAAATATCTTTCTTATTGCTATGACAGAATGCCTGACAAAAACTACTTAAGGAGAGAAAAGTTTAGTTGGTTAATGTTTGAGGAAAAACGCACGGTGGCAGGGAGGGCTGGAGGCCGGAACATGAAGCCCCTAGTCACCAACAGAATTCCTGCAGTCAGAAAGCAGAGGATGAAGAATAATGCTGTCATGCAAATCGTTTCTTCTTTTTGTGCAGAATTGGATTCCAGGCCATGGTGTGGTGCTGCCTTCATTTTCAGTGGCCCAGATGTTCGTCTTTTTTAGATGATTATAAATTCTATCAATCTGACAGTCAAGATTAACTATGGCAGGTAGAGAGCACAGGACCCTGAGTTCAATGCCCAGCACCAAAAAGAAAAGGGTGTAGGATTTGTGCTTATGCTAAACATGTTGAGGACTTTATGGTCACTAGTCCTTACACAGTGTGGCATGCCTGCTTGCAGCATTCACAGTAAACCAGCTGTTTTGAATGATGTGCAACCCAGCATGTGCAGGTTCTGTGCAAAGTCTCACACCATGTTATGCCAGAGACTGGAGCATCTCAGAACTGGGGGTCAGAGAAGGCCTGGGATCACTGACCACTGCTACCAAGTGTTTTGACTGTATGCTTCCGGAATTCCTTTTTTTTTTTTTTTTTTCTCTCTCCTTTATCTGTATGTGTGTTGGTATGTGTGCCCAAGAAGGGGTGTCAGCTCACTGAAGCTGGAGTTCCAGGCATTTGGGAAGTGCCTGATAATGTGTGCAAGAGCAGTATGTGCTCCACTGAGCCATTTCTCCAGCCTGCTTATAGAATTCTAATTTTTCAAAACTTCTGTCTCATGCTCTCATTATGGATATTTTGAAGGCTAGAGTAGGTTCTGGTGGTGGCAAAGACATGGGATTTCTGTTTTCTTTGAGGAGTAGTAGGAGGCTGGATTGAAATCACTAAGTGAAGTTTCTGTAAATATCTGTGTATGTCATTGCAGCCAGGTGACTTGGAACATGGGTGGCAGATGTAGCAGTGGGGCTAGAACTCTATGCCCATCT